AGCGCTTTTAGTGCGCGCGGGGCCGCGCCGGCCTTAAAGGGGCCGCACCCGGCGGGGCTGGGGAGGGAGTGGAAGGGGGGAGGCTGCCTCCCCCCTCTGCTGCCCTTGCTGCGGCTTACCGCTTCCTTCCCGCGGCAGCGTCCCGGCCAGAACTCTTCCCCCTTTCCGCCGTTATTCGTTTGCTTTGTTACTACCGTTGAGTATTTTTTGAGGGTATGTTGTAGGCTCCTCCCTGGAATTGAGTCCTGCCGCGCTGGGCAGTTCATACATAACCTGGTATTAGCGCATGTGGTACTTCTGCTGTAGCACTCCCACTGGCTTTTGCAGGATCAGGGTCGAGAAGGGGCTAGAGGCCCTAGCTTGGCAGTTGCGAAGAGGGATACTTGCCCTGGCTCCGAAGGGAATTTTTTTCTTTTGCAAAATAAAGGCACATTTGTACGTTTTTTGTTTTAACTGTGTGCATAGCTTTAACATGATGTAAGCAGAAACATCTGACTTGCTAGCATGTTAATTATTCTCTAACGTTTTTCAGTCAAATTGAAAGTGATCTATTACTCCTCAACATCCTCATTTTCACATCATATTTTTCTACTGGAAAAAGGCAGAAGTGATCTTTTTTTGCTTAGAACTCAAATGGTGCGTGTCTACTCGGAGGTGAGAGGCAGCCTGAGAGATGAGCCTTCGGCTGGGCTGTGTGATGCGATGCACGTAGGCTGCAGAGGGCACGACTCCCCACCCTGCCTCTTACACTGCCGTGACTGCAGTGCAGCTCTCTGCTGAGCTGCTTGAAATGACTCACGGGAACGCTAAAGAGGATCAGGCCCAGAGCCTGCTCCACACAGACGTTTTACACACAGGAATCGAGCACATGTTAATTTTTAACAAAGTCCCAGCACTTCTACTGCTAGAAAGCTTGACCATACATATGTGTTACACGTGAACACACATAGCCCTGAACGAAGAACAAGGGATGGTATTGTATGGGAACACTTTGGAGTGGCACAGGCTATAACGCTGAGAACTGGCAGGACTGGAGCGCGCTTTTTTTTTGTGATTAACAGTGCTATTAAGAACTAATATTGTCGGCTCCCTGCCATTGTGTAGTGCCACTTACTCCTCCCACCTTCCTGCCTCCCAGAGTTGTTGCATGGAGGTAGGGTGGGAATTCTGGCAGCGCAGGAAGAAAAACGAGAGCAACATCACCACTGGTGCGCTCGCTCTGTGGCCTGCCGGGCCCAAAGCGACAGACCCTGGCCATGCTGCCACACAATGGAAGGACGTCCACAATTTCATTCTCTTTTGCCCCCGTGTCTAAGGAAGAAGCAGTGCATACATTTTCATAGCTTCTAAAGATGCATTTTTAGAAGTTAACCAAATAGCAGTGTGTATGTACACGCCCCTCCCTCACGTGATTGCTCCACACTCATGCCTTCATAATATATTTTCTGGAAGCAGAGCATCTGTTTTAAAACACAATTGCTTGTGATTAAAATAAGAACAATGAAGCAATGTGTCTAAGAGCAAAAAACTGAAAGGTAAAATGTTTTACAGAAATATACCAAAGAGCATTCTAATGATGTGCCAGAGACAGAGGCAATGAAAGCTTTTACATTCCCTATTAACGAGTATAAGGATTGTTAGCAGGTAGAGATGCTCTTAATTGTACTTGTGCCATGAGGTACCTCTAGAAACACACATTTCAGGGTTCGGATGCTCTGAGAGTAAGTCTGAAAGCATCTAGCATAGTGTCCCGGTTTCAGCTGGGATAGAGTTAATTTTCTTCCCAGTAGCTGGTACAGTGCTGTGTTTTGGATTTAGTATGAGAATAATGTTGATAACACACTGATGTTTTAGTTGTTGCTAAGCAGTGCTTACACTTGTCAAGGACTTTTCAGCTTCCCATGCTCTACCGACAGAGAAGGCTGGAGGTGCACAAGAAGCTGGGACGGGGCACAGCCAGGACAGCTGACCCCAACTGCCCAAAGGGACATTC